TCGCCTTTGGAGTAGGATGACTGATCATCTGCTGCCCCCTTGTGGCTAAGCTCTACATCATAAATGAGTTGAGTTGAAGGAGCTGTGCAGGTTGCTGCAGCTCCATTTGTAGGGTGTGAGAGTTAAATTAACCTGGTTACATTAGCAACCGTGAAAGTTGACACATAAAGCAGGAAAAGAATGAATACCGAGGTTTTCAAAACTGTTTATTTATTTATTTTTTTTAAAGTTAAAGTGAACAAAGACTACACTCACAAGAATCCAGAGTGGAATAAATGTTCCAACCACCGGGAGCAGGAACAAATCAAATCAAATGTAATGATAGAAACCTTACCGTATTTTCACGACCATAAGGCGCACCGTACTAAAAGGCGCACTCTCAGTTATGTGTGCCATTTCTGTATTTAACACACACATAAGGCGCACCGGACTATAGGGCGCGTTTTTTATATACAGGTAAATACCTCTACTGCATATTTAAAAATACAGCGGGCCCAAAACTGAGTATGACTGTGCTTTATTCATGTATTTATTACAAAGTATTAATCAAACCTGGGAGCTGGCCGTGAGACAGACACATCGCAGATGACAGAGCGCTGTGATGACTCCTAAATTAACTTAAAATCCTGAAACCTGCCGAAGGAATATGTTCGCTTTTATTGCCGGTATCCTGGTGCCTGCAGTTTAAATTGTTTAGATGAAAAACACCTGCCAGCCGCCGCGGTGAGGCTGCTGTTGAAGGGATTTCTACTGTCGGTGCACCGCTGGTATGTGGGGGGCTGAGCGCCTCCGACAGAAATAGTATAGGCACGATAATAATCTGGATGAACTGACTGCAATTATTAAGTTTTCAGGTGGCCTTTCTCACTTAAAAACATATTAAAACTACTTTATTCCCACTGATCACAGCAAATATAGCTGCAAGATTTAGATTATTTAGATGAAAAAACACCTGCCAGTCACCGCGGTGAAACCAGAGGAGACCCTGCCCAGAGGCTGCTGTTGAATTAAGTTTTCAGGTAGAAAAATAGAGCGGGAGCAAAACTGAGTATGATTGTGCTTTATTCATGTATTTATTACAAAGTATTAATCAAACCCATCAAAGTCATCATCCTCTGTTTCTGAATTAAACAGCTGCGCTAAATCAGACATGCCAATTTCCCCTTCTTCGCTGTCAGAGTCACTTTCCGCGCAGCGCGGCTCCTCAGAAATAATGCCGGCTTTTGCGAAAGCTTGAACAACAGAGCCAGCAGACACGTTAGTCCAAGCATCTACAATCCATCCGCAAACTGTGGCGTTAATTGCCCGGGGCTGCCTTCCACTTATCCTGAAACTGTGTTCTCCGTCTGTCATCCATCGCTCCCACGCCGCTCGCGGCCTTACTTTGAACGGCCGCTTCACACCGATGTCGAGCAGTTGAAGTTCCTTTGTCAGACCCCCGGGATAACGGCGAGCACAGCGTTCATTTGATTCACCTTTTTTTTCACATCGGCTGTGAGATGGGCACGCAGCGATGGTGATGCGTGGAAAAAAGCACCTGGTCTCCTCACATACACCTGCCTCAGCCACGCTTTCATCATCTCCAGCCTTTTTCATTTGCGTTAATGTCATCAGAGCGCTGTGTCTGTCTCGCTGTCAGCTCCCAGATCAGCTTCTCTGATTGGTTGATGCGGCGCGTCCAGCAGCAAAACTTCAATTTTTCCATCTCGAGCAGCAGCAGCGCGTTGGCGGTGCGTCAGATGCTTAAACGCTCCCGACGCGCTGCGCCTGCTGCTCAAAAACGCGCTGCGGGACCTTTTGCTGCACCTATAAGCGCGTCAACCATTGACTTTGCATGTAAACTCGCTGCTTCTGCTGCACCTGCTGGGTCCGGTTCACACCGATGTCGAGCGGTTGAACAGCGAGCACAGCGTTAATTTGTTTCCCCATGTTTTTCACATCAGCTGTGAGATGGGCACGCATGGAGTTACATATTAACAGCGATGGTGATGAGTGGAAAAAAAACACCTGGTCTCCTTACATTCAGCCACTCTTTCATCATCTCCTCAATGAGGTGGTCTCCTCACATTTTGAGGGGGAAAAAAGACGTTTAAGTGCGCCTTATAGTCGTGAAAATACGGTAGTCAGTTAAATAACCTGCTGCTGTCATTTTGCACATCTCTGATGTTGCTGCTATTTTCAAATATCCATTACTGTAAAAATGTCCATAGCTGCATATTGGTTATTAATTCTCCAGTTTTATATTGTTAAAACACTTTACAGAATTGTATTGTTTATATTTTAACTCTTCCCTATTATGTTATTCTTATACATTTTTCAAAGGTACACCCTTGTGTGACCATTTTCACTAATCTTTCTGCTGCTGTAAATTTGCCCATTGTGGGACAGCAAAGGGATTTTCTATTCAATTCTATAAAAGGGTTAGAAATATATAAGTAAATCTAAACAATGTATCTACAAAATACATCTGCAAAATCTCTAATATTCAACAACAAAAAATACTTAGTTAAGCATATTGTGCAAAACAACAATAAAAAAATTAAACTCCTATCAGATTTATAGTTCCCACTCTGCAGATCTATTAGAATCTGTCCTTTAATTACAGCCAAACTCATTTACACAGTAACAGATAAAAACCTTTAGATAAATCAAACATTACCGCCACATATCTGACTCAATAACCATTAAAACAACTATTTTCATTCATTTCAGACGGAACTATTCACAGAGTTGTATTATATTAAACTGAACTTCCAATTTTCACCACTGTTCTGCGCCAAGTAACATTTCCTCTGATCACGGAGCAAATCCCGATGATGAGACATTTGTTCTTTCAATCAAATCTAATTATATTTAAAAAAAAAATCAATTGTTTAAGTCAGAGGTGTTCTGTGTATGGGTTGAAGCTCTCTAAAGAGACCTATAAATTACTGTTTTATTACAAAAAATTAAGAATCAACAATATGGCTTTGACTTGAAAAAATACTTTTTGTGTTAGCTTTACAAAAGTTTGTTAATTGTTTACTGTGGAGTTGTTTCATTTTGATGCATATTTTTTGGCAGAAAATCTCAAGGCTTAAAATGTTACCTTGTTATTGTCAGCACATCAACCCCCGATCTGTTGTTGGCACCTTTTTAAGCAGTTCTTAACCAACTTAACGCTGATTCCCCCCATACCCATAGTGCTAAAATGGCATAGAAGGTCCTTGTTTCATCTTCCCATTAGACTGGGTGACCCAGGCTAGGCCTGCTGTGGGGATATTCGCCATTCCTGCACAGCAGCACTTGCATTTTACTTTGGGTAAACAGTGATAAACTTTATGGACTAGCTTAGCATGAGAGAAACACTGGACGACATCTTCTCCATTGGCTGGCACTCCTTAACTCCTCCAGAGTCAGCCGTGTATTAGACACATATGAAGAAAATGGCGGTGGCACTCGCAGGCACTGACTTTATTACATCACACAGCGACCGGATGCTGATAAACATGTCTTTGCTCAAACAAAACAAATATGCTTAACGCCTGCTTTAACTTGATTGAACTCATTCATTGGAGAGAAAATCTAAATTTTAAAAAGTTATTTGCACACCTGTGGTCAATGTATGGTACTGTATATTTACCCAAGCCAGCCTATAGAATTTTAAATCTTGCACAAACAGCAGTGGGCATGAGTTAGTTTTCATCTCATTCATCCTACACTACCTTTTTAGAGTTTGTTGCTGAAACGCTTATTGTTGAGAGATCAAAGCTCACAACTCATTAAAAGTCCCAAGAGATGTTTTGTAAACTGCACACATTTTTTGTTTATGATCATTGGACATTGGTTGAGATTTTACTTGTGTTGGCAGACATTTTTACAAAACCCTGTAAAAATACCTTTGATTTATTCTCATGGTTACACTGAGATAATTCTACCAGGTTAAACTACAGAAGACAACCAGCATTTAAAGGCTTTAGCTTTAGTATTAATCAATATTTCTTTGAGATATAAAGCATCAGATATGTATACACCACCTCTTTTTTGCCTAAAACGAAAACTTACATTCATAATAACTTCTATGCCATCAGAATGCCTCCATCAAAACACACAAATATGCCACAGCATGACCTGGTGGTCTGGCTGTTTACTCCCTGTTCAAGCTTTTGGTTATAACCTCGGAATAAACTGTATTGTTGTCTTGTTATCTATCGTCTCCCACCGATGGAAGTATGTTCTGTGACCGATGTAGCATCCTTAAAATATATTCGGCCCCTGAACGTTATGGAGTAATCAGAGTTAAGAGAAGCAGGCATTATTTTTTCTCAGCAGGAGGTATTTGTAATGGAATCATTTGAGAAATCGCTTTAGCCCAAAATAGGTTTAGTAATGTTTGCATTATCTTCTTTTATTGAGAGAAAGTTTTCAGCATTCTGTTCTTGTTATCAGCATCTTTTATGTTTTCACTCTGCAGTGCTAGGAACTACTATTCAGGACAGTACAATGAGACCCGCTTTTATGTCCTGCACCAAGACTTTCTGCGATATATACGCAACAGGTCAGTCTTTCCAAATAAACATCCTTTATGTACACTTCTTTTTTTTAAATAATAATTAATCTTAGCTTTACGTGACACCAAAAATCTGTTAGATAAACTAAAACCTGCTAAAATAACCTTTTATAATTTTTGTAATTTAACTACTTAGGTTTTTACAATGGTCTCCATATCCAACAAAAAAGGAATTAAGTGAGATTTTTGACTGATAAATGTTTATCTCTCTTTAGGATTTCTTTCATGGGTCGTCATTTACATCTCTATTTCTTTACACCTTTTCTTTTCCCACAGGTTTTTAAAATCAGTCAATCTTAATAAAGGGTTCTGGGCCATTGTCCGACCAACCAATGGGGCGTTTGCTCTGTTTACGGCTCTGCACATTTGTGACACAGTAGGTCTACCTTCATCATAGTACACACTAGTGGTATTTGAAATAGAGGTGAGGCTGTCAAGTTAATTAACAATCATAGCATTCATGTTAAGGACCATTTCACTACTATAAAATAATCTGAATGGCATGTTACATAACCTGATTTCATTCGTATACAGTTGTCCTGCTCTTATAAGCTTTCCCTCAAAATACCCTGTCTTAAGGCAGGAAATATGGTCAAGTATTGATAATACTTATTTTTTCTTCTCAAAAAAAGAATATGACGAGTATCAGCACAGATAGCTAAAACAGCACCAGTTGAACATGTACATAAAATAAATACCTTGGTGAAAAATTACAACCCGCAAGTTGTTTTTGAAGTCCAATTGTTCCCATTCCCATTAGGAGAAAATTTAAAAATTTGCAGTGATTCTGCAATGATTACTTTTTTCTACTTGATCCTTCACCTCTTCTTTCTGTTTTCTCTCTTTTCTGTCATCCCTAGGTGGATGCATATGGATTCATGACAGAAGATTATGCAAAATACTCCAACTACTACTTTCAAAAGTTTTTGAAAACCAAAGTCGTTTTCTACGCAAATCATGACTACATTATGGAGAAGAATTTGTGGAAGAGCCTCCATGACAAAAAAATTTTAAAGCTGTTTCAAGGAAGTGAATCACAGCAGAAAACAGAAGAGCCATAAACACAATGGAAAGGGTCAAACTGATTACCAACCTGATCAACAACATTTGCAACATATAAATTCTGCTTCATAAGTATTTCTATCTCCCTCTCTTTAATACATTTTTATTTGAAGAGTTTCTGATTTTTGCCACAGTAGTTCTCACCAGGTTAAAATTATAAAAACATTGTACTAAAATACATCACTCCAGCATAAAGCAAGTTTTAAAAAGAAATGACAAATCTCTATTTATGTATTTATAACCGTCTCCTCTAACCTTTAAAAGGTTTAGTTTTTAAAAGCAAAAAAAAATAATAAAAACTATCATCAGAATCAGGTTCATTGCCAAGTAGGTTTGCACTTACAAAGAATTTGACTTGGTGTTGATGGTACAGACAAATTAGAAATATATACAGAATACAGAATCCATAGCTATATGCAATATAAAACATGCAATATACTATATACAAGGTAGGGTGTGAGTTGGAGATGCTACGTTGGTATAGTTTAAAGGTCCTGAACGAGGGAGGGAGAAAGGCATTTACAATGTCATGGGCTTCTCTGGGCCTTGTTGAAAAGGCTGGTAGCAGATGGGAAGAAACTGTTCTTTTGGCGGGAGTTTTTTTGTCATGATGGACAACCGCCTCCTTCCAGAGGGAAGTGTTTGAAATAGTTTGTGGCTGGGGTGCGAGGGATCAGCCACAATCTTCCCTGCACGCCTCAGAGTCCTGGAGGCCAGTTGCGGCCGGCCCATAGGGGGCGCTGGGGCACCGCCCTCCCTGATAAGAAGAGAGAAACTTAAAATATATTTTTACAAATTAACTCATAAATGTCAGTTTTACTCTCTAGAGTTTGTACCTAAGCAAAACAAATTATATAAACTACATTTCCCAACCTACTGTCATTCATTTGTGGATTTCCACAGACAGACTCCTACCGTCTCTGTCTTGGGGCGCTGATCAGACTGCCCCACATGTTCAGAGAATCTGCTAATCATGTACTATTGCTAGCTCAATTTAATAATTTAATGGCCAATCAGCGTCTCAGAATTTTATGGTCTTGGGGCACTGAAAATACTGCCCTTTAACAGGCTTCTGCACCCAATGCGCAGGTGCAGACAATTAGAGGGACGATGGCGAACGTAACGAACGAGATGCAGCTTCCATCAAATTCGGTGAGATCCTTATTTATTGTGTGTGTGATCAGTAAGCGGTTAAAACGCCAGAGTTGTTGGAATGCGGAAGTGACGTCACCAACACGTGACTCGTGTTGTTTGTCAGATTATTATTTGTAATCTAAATGTTTGTCAGATTATTATAATTTTTTTATTTTATGTTTAAAAGTTTGCTGTAATTGAATAAGTCAATGAATCTGTGTAAAGGAATTAAGTTATTTGTGTTATTTGTTTTTGTATATCAATTGTTTGTGGAGGTAATATATGAGCAAAACTGATTTATGAGAAGAAATCAGAAATAAGAGAGCCTGAGGTGAGGGGCTTAAACTATTTAATGAGGGCTGTGGGAAGAAAAGCGGCCATTTCTGTTTTCTGTTGTTTCTTTGTTTCTTTGCTGGTAACTGGAGGGAGGCTGAGGCCCAGAGTATCTTGTATATGTTTAGTTTCTTTTGCACCCTGTTTTGAGTTTTTCAGCACAATAAATCACCAACACCGGTAACCCGACTGAGCCTGGATTCTTGGAGGCCAAAGAACCCCGTCACAGTGACCCAAATCATCACTGTTACTGTTATTATATAGTAAATTAAATCATTACTGTTAAATTGTATTTATTGTACAATTGTTTATTTGAATTCTTACTCTGGATTAGTTGGAGACATACACTAGGCTATATCAGCCCCACCAAAAATATTTTTCACCAGCCGCCACTGCTGGAGGCATACAGGTTCTGGAGAGATGGAAGATTGCAGCCAATCACCTTCTCTGCAGACCGGATGACACACTGCATTCTGCCCTTGTCCTTGGCGCTGGCACCAGCGTAACAGATGGTGATGGAAGAGGTGAGGATGGAGGAGTAGAAGTGTACCATTGTCCTGGGCAGGTTGAAGTTTTTCAGCTGCCGCTGGAAGTACCTCCTCTTCTGGGCTTTCTTGGTGAAGGAGTTGATGTTCAGTTCCCATAACATGGCAGGGTAGCTGTCAGCTCTGCAGCAAGTTCTACACTCCATGAATATAAAGACACATTCATTCAGATAAATGTATATAAAAATAAATTACCTAAGGTAGTTATCAATGTAGATATGATTTTCTGTTGTTCAGCATTTTTTTTTAGGATAAGTTTATTGCTAACTAGATTTTTGTTATCAGGGGCACCTAAAGTTAACCCACATTAGGCAAAATGGTTGATTAGTTAATTATTCACTTTATAGTAAACTTGAAGCATTTACCAACATTTTTACTGAAACCAAGAAAAAGAAATAACTCAGATGAATGTTAACATGCCTATCTTGATAATTTGAATTAGTTAGCAAAATACTATGAAGAGGTTACATAGTATTGTTTAAAAACATGTGACTGTGAGGTTTTATGGGCAAGGTGTTGTCTTACAATAATTTGAGGAAGTGGTTCTGACATGAAGGTGGAGTAGTTCCAGTTAGGCCGAAAGTATGCTCTATCAAATGTTACTGTTAAAGGTATAATGGAGGATTTTGGAAAAAAACCCCGCCCTCTCCACTTTGAAAAAAAAGAGGGTACACCTATTAAAAGCACGCAAGAGTATGCACAAGCCCATTTTCTCTTGTGTACACTGTTTAAAATGTGATGTTTGCATCTCTGATGCAAGCTTACTTTCCAAAAGAATATTTGCAAATTTTCCACTATGTCAGACTGACTACGAGTAAGTGAAAATAGGGACGACTATATAGGAAGGCCTTATGTAAAAATGTCACCAGAATGATTCATAGTTGGACGGACCACTTATTTTGATGATCCACCTGGAAGAAGAAAATCTTCCTCTATACCTTTAATTTATTGTCTACATCCTGACAATATTAGGTTCAGGATGACAGATTGTCAATAATAAGCAACAGCTGCTTTGTACTGTCATTGTTTTGGTTCTGTCTAAGTTTTATCTTTGAATTTTAGTTGGTTTTATCTCCATTTTGTGTTGTTCTAGTTATTTTTTATTGTATTTGAGTTTTTATTAATTTCATGTTTGCCCTCTATTGCCTCTCTTATGTCAGTCTCATTTTCCCTAGCTCCCTTCTAGACTCCTCTGTTTGAACCTGCTCCCAATCTGCTGATTAGCCTGATCTTTGTTTTCCTCTCCCATATATGCAGCTCCTGCACAGTCACTGTTGCTGGTTTGTCTTCATTTCTTTGCCCCCTTGTTGTGAGTATTTCTGGTGGTGATGGTGAGAGGAACATCTATGAGGCATTGAACCATCCATCCATCACGCTTATTCCAACCGGGGTCGCGAAGGGTGCTGGTGCCTAACTCCAGCTGTCTATGGGCGAGAGGTGGGGTACACTCTGGACAGGTCGCCAGTCCATGGCATGGCAGGCATTTAACCGTTTTGGCTAATAGCTTCAATGATCTCCACAGTTCATGAAGCTTCATGTGAACATGTCACTACCCACTAGTGGAGTGCATAACTACAGTTAGTACACTATATTGCCAAAAGTATTTGCTCACCCATCCAAATTATTGGAATCAGGTGTTCCAATCACTTCCATGGCCACAGCTGTATAAATTCAAGCACCTAGGCATGCAGACTGTTTTTACAAACATTTGTGAAAGAATGGGTCGCTCTCAGGAGCTCAGTGAATTCCAGCGTGGAACTGTGATAGGATGCCACCTGTGCAACAAATCCAGTCGTGAAATTTCCTCGCTCCTAAATATTCCACAGTCAACTGTCAGCTGTATTATAAGAAAATGGAAGTGTTTGGGAACGACAGCAACTCAGCCACGAAGTGGTAGGCCACGTAAACTGACGGAGCGGGGTCAGCGGATGCTGACGCGCATAGTGCGAAGAGGTCGCCAACTTTCTGCAGAGTCAATCACTACAGACCTCCAAACTTCATGTGGCCTTCAGATTAGCTCAAGAACAGTGCGCAGAGAGCTTCATGGAATGGGTTTCCATGGTCGAGCAGCTGCATCCAAGCCATACATCACCAAGTGCAATGCAAAGCGTCGGATGCGGTGGTGTAAAGCACGCCGCCACTGGACTCTAGAGCAGTGGAGACGCGTTCTCTGGAGTGACGAATCGCGCTTCTCCATCTGGCAATCTGATGGACGGGTCTGGGTTTGGCGGTTGCCAGGAGAACGGTACTTGTCTGACTGCATTGTGCCAAGTGTAAAGTTTGGTGGAGGGGGGATTATGGTGTGGGGTTGTTTTTCAGGAGCTGGGCTTGGCCCCTTAGTTCCAGTGAAAGGAACTCTGAATGCTTCAGCATACCAAGACATTTTGGACAATTCCATGCTCCCAACTTTGTGGGAACAGTTTGGAGCTGGCCCCTTCCTCTTCCAACATGACTGTGCACCAGTGCACAAAGCAAGGTCCATAAAGACATGGATGACAGAGTCTGGTGTGGATGAACTTGACTGGCCTGCACAGAGTCCTGACCTCAACCCGATAGAACACCTTTGGGATGAATTAGAGCGGAGACTGAGAGCCAGGCCTTCTCGTCCAACATCAGTGTGCGACCTCACAAATGCGCTTCTGGAAGAATGGTCAAAAATTCCCATAAACACACTCCTAAACCTTGTGGACAGCCTTCCCAGAAGAGTTGAAGCTGTTCTAGCTGCAAAGGGTGGACCGACGTCATATTGAACCCTATGGATTAGGAACGGGATGTCACTTAAGCTCATATGTGAGTCAAGGCAGGTGAGCAAATACTTTTGGCAATATAGTGTATCTGTGATTGTTTTTCTTGTTTTCTTTCCCCCTTTAAGTTCCTTTGAAATTGTTATGGATTGGTGTGTATAATAAAGTCTTTTGTAATGTCTTAGAAAAGAAAAAATATTTAAGTTTTAATTTGGTTTTACTTGAGTTGGAAGTTATGTGTTGAACCAACCAACTTTGGCAACTTGTACAAGGGCAAACCAATACAAATTAGTCACATTAGCCAAAATGCTTGTTAAGTCTAATCGTAACTTTAAAAAGTGATGGGATTTGATCTATCAACCATTGGAATGGAAGTCAATGTCTTACAGCTTATGCCACTGGCATGGTAACAGCAAATGAAAAAGCAATACTACTTAAAACCAATATTACAACTGTAACCAAAAGCTTTCTCAGATTATGATCATTACATTGTTTAATCTAACCAAAATATTTTTAACCAATTAGATTGGTTGTTTTTACAAGTATTCTATTCTTAAAATAGATTCAAACTCTATCCAACTGACTGCATTTCTCCTAGAAACTCTCACATCCTGACTGAACACAGAGGCTCTTTAAATGCCTGCCAAAGTTCTGGGCGAGCTGAACCATTTCCAGAAGCGGTCACATGATATGGCGGGGTAGCGAGGGTTCGGACGTCATCTATTTTGGCTCCTCCCCCCAAATGAAGCAAGCCTCGATATGTGCCTCGTGGAAACGCCCCCTTCACTCCTCGACACACGCCTCAAAGCCTCTGCTTCATCTCATAACACCACTCATTTCTGGTCTTAGGTATTTTTGGACTTTGTGGATTTTGTTAGTTTGACTTCTGCTTCTGTTACGCTTTTTGTTATTAAACCTGCAAGAAACCACTTCAGCTTCAGTCTCTGCATTTGGGTCCTCCTCAAACCCCCACCCGATCTGACATGTGCAGTTATGAACATTGCCAGATTAGGCCTTGTGCACTGCACTAAATGCACACTCTGGTTTCTGTAAAAATCGGTCTAATCTTTCGACATATACTTGTTATTGCACCACTATTGTCGAATGTTTTCAAAAATTGGTACATAGCCTTAGGAAAACGATTATCATTTCAGATAAGACACAATAACTGAGAAAAATGGAAACGGCATTAAAATTAGACTTATTTAGGGAGCTTTAGAGATATGGATCATTTAAGGTGATTATGTTGACGTAATGTTTAGGAATTGTTCACTAAGAATGTTCATGAGCAAGGTACTTTAATTTGTGTGGGACAATTTCTTTTTTGGAATTATTTTTTTCAAACAAAAATTCCAAATCTTAACTAAACTAACATTTAGTACATTTTTATTTACTGTCACTTTTTCAGTTTTGTTTAAGCTGAATTACTGCTGTGAATTGATCATTTTCTTTAATGGGAGGTGTAATGGAAAGCGCTGTGATTACACCTTTAACATTTCTCATCCCTGAATGTGTTTCTGTACTTTTACAGCAAATAAAATGAAGTAAAATGTTATCCATGTTATCAAGAGGTGACATGATCAAAGTGAGTTGTCTTTTTTTTTTTTTTTTACCCCAATTGAAAATGCCCAACTATAGGTGACTTACAACTATAGCAAAAAGTCACACATGATCTGAATCACCAGCAAATTTAAATGAATTGTTACCCGGCATGATGCACACCTCTGGTAAAAATAACTCCTTTAAAATCTTTTCATAACTCTTTAAGTTATCCTGTACACAGACAGAAAAACACACACACAAACTCTGCTAAAAACAAAGCGTCCTTGGCAGAGGTAATTAATGAGATTCAATCTTGGACAGAAGAAATTAATTTTTTTCTTTTATCAAGATATATATGTGAATAGAAGCCATATATTTTTTACTGTTTGTTTTGTTTTGTTTTTCTTGTACTAGCCCTTTGTTGTTTTAAGACTAAACCTCACAGCATATCAATCATTAAAGTCAAGATTCTTCACACCGTCCTTCGTGAGATGTTAAGCTTAGTTGATTAATCTCAATACAATTGTGTCTCAACTTGAATGCAATCCGTTGCCTAGTGATCAAACTACAGTATGTGCATCTTTTGTGTGAGGTGTTTGCACACAGCAAGCAGAGCAGGTTGTCAGAAATTGAAAGAGCATGAAGGATTAATACAGTCTATTTAATGTTTGAACATCACTGTAAAACACATTTTAATGCCAAAGAAAGTAAACATTTCTAGTTGATGTTAAAAAAACTGGAAGGGTTCTCATTTAATTCAGGAAATATTCTTTGATAGGATGCAATATTTTTGTTAAATCTGACATGTTTTTTTCTGGAAAATGCTTCAATGTTGTTATCAAAAAATTACATCAGCGTACGTGTTCTGTGGCAATGGGTTTTTCCAGCCATGGGTGAATTTCTCCTTCGCCCTCTAATCCTCACCACTACATTTGATGAGACACGTTTGGTGAACAAAAAAACCGTGGCATTTTCAGACTTTCAAAAGCATTTGATACAGTCAATTAAAATATATTAATTAAAGTACAAATAGTTAAGAATAAGCCATAATCTGGATTTTGAATCTCTGTATATTCTATGTTCAAATGTAGGTTGCAAAGAATACACATACCTATTATTTATAAATGTAAACATGTTAAAAAATTTGGATTTCTTTAAATAAAAAAAAAAATTAAGGTATTGTACGAAGTAGGACATAATGTATTGCAAACATAATTCAGGAAATGTTTACTGAAAGAGATGGGGGGGGATTTTAAGGAAGTGACATTGTGTAATACTTATAGAGATTAACCGAAGTACAAACAGATATATTAAAAAGTAGGTATAAAAACAATTTCATAATTTTGTAATGATAAATCCAAAAGGAAAAACATGGATTATTACTAAATGTTATATATATCAGAGGCATACATATTGCTAAAAATTGTTTTGATCTATTTTGAATTGGATCTAGTTTGTGTTCTTTGATTAAAGTTTCTTTATTATTGACTTTGAATTCTGTCCTATTATGTAGGGATATCCTCAGCTGCAGAGGGCAAAAATCCTCACAGAGCTTCTCTGACTTTCCCCAAATTCCACACCTGATCTTACTGGCCGTACTTGTTTAACTTTTCCGCTGTCATGTTAAGAGCCAGTTTAAGGTTTCCTTCGGTAAATATTTACTCATCAACCATAGTCTCGTCCACATTTTCAACGCCTCAGCTTCGCAAGAATGGTTCATAAAACAGTTGCACTGTTTTGCTTTGTAATGGTGATTTTACTCAGCATTATTCTTTTCATGATGTCTCAAGAAAATTTACCTGCTAGCATAAGGTAAGAGTTTCAAATTATATAAATATGTAGTTTTCCTTTGCTTTTTTACTTGCTGAGGATCTTTCTTGTTACATTTGCATATTTATTAAAATTCAGATACAGATGGAAGGCTATGCCAGAAATAAAGGGAATCAGAGGAGGAAGCTATGAAAATGAAGGGCTACGTCAAAATGAAGGAAACCTTTTGACATCTTGGCTCAATGCAACACAGTCTTCAAGAACTGCTGAAACATCAACAAGGGATTCAGAGCCAGAGACTGATAAGAAGAATATGTCTGCAGAATATCCTATTCCAATTATACACAAAAGTTCCTTCAAAAAGCTTCCTAAGTGGAACTTTGAGGATATTTACAATTTAGATGCCCCCCCTAGACCTAATGTGAGTATACTGTAGAAAATCACTTAGAAAAAAGAAGCTAATATCAATATTAGGGTCTGCTTGGTCCCGTCTTCACTTGTTTGCTTTTGGTGCTGCTTCATTCTTTGTCTGTATGCACCATTGGCATTAGGCTATTAATAGTTAAGTGTACATTGAAACTTAAACTCATAGTAGCTCCAGTTGAATAAATGTTTGACAATCTTAAATCTCACTTTCTAACCCGGTCTCAAACACAGACATGTTCCCAGTCTTTGCGTAACTCCAGGGATGAGGACTTCCAGAAAGCCTTCCTTCCCAACATACGCATGTTTCTACACAAAGATAACATCAACATGAGAGAGTGGAATCGACTATCACATTTCAACAATCCTTTTGGTTTCATGGATATGAAGTATGAAGGTAGGTGTTTGCTTAGATAGTGCTACAAATGTGTGAGTAAAATAAATAATTAATTACTTTTGAGGCGATAAGCAGAGACGTTAGCCCATTTTTGGGGGGTGCTGAAGTGCCCCTATATTAAATCAAAGCTCCCCTTGTCATGATCGCAGCCCCGGTAGCTGATCTAATCACTCACCTCATTCACCTGCTGTTCCCTCCCCACTCTCTAATTATCATTCATCTTATTCACTAGCACGGGTTCTGGCCCTTTTCCACGGAGTCCTCGAAGTTTTGGCTCGGAACTGGGGGGAGTTCAGTTTTAGTCCCGTAAGCCTGGCTCTTAGGATCAGATTTCTGCCTGCTCGCTGGGGTTGCTGCATCGGGGACACTCTGAGCGGCTCCTTGCGCCACATCTCGTTTGGCAGTCTATCGGCTGGATCCTGCCTTCCTCCAGCTGCTCCATTTCTGCTTTATCCACAGCAGCCCGCGTTTCTATTCAGTTTTGTTTTAATTTCTGTCATTAGTTTTAAAACTTCCCACTGTCTGACTTGCCTGAATTCTGGGTCCATCTGTCCGGTTTTATGACACCCCTAAAATTGGAGTGTTTTTTTCTTATACTGTATGCACTTTTTAAAATAAAAAAAAAACAATAAAAGCATAAAACACTACAGTACTTGATTTAAAGAATAATATTTTACTTATTGAAACTTTCAAGAGACAATCATTTATTTCATAATGGAACGGTTATGTCATAACTCTGCATAAAGGCCTAAAGCTGTGGCTAACTTTCATAATTTTAGCATTCCAATCGCACAGCCCACCGCTCCAGGCTTCTCTTGAAGTCGTAGGGAAATCATATTTAAATGTCAAATACTTCTGGCTTAAACATGTATATAAATGTACTCTTTATCAGACGATACCGTCCTAAAATTTAGAAAATAGCTATTTGAAACAAAAATTCTGTCTTAAAATCTGTGTGGAGCAAATGGATGAAAATAGTCTGGAGGGAAAAAAAAAACATGAATCGATACTCTTGCAGACATGTCGATGCATCGGATCGTCGGCTTTTGGATCGATGCATCGATACAAAATGATTATTTTTACACCCCTAGACCCCAATTGGGGTCAGAACCCCAAGGTTGAGAGTGGCTGCTGTAATGTGTCTGGGATTAGCTTGTTTTTCTTGTTATATTTTTAAAACAACAATTCAAGATCAATTTTAAATTTATTCATTTATCATAATCTCTTTTTATTTATCTTTTTTTTTTCAATTTCTTGCTATTGGAATTTGTGTTGCGAATTTAGCCTTTTCTTTAATGGGAGAGTGTCTCAATGTTTAAGCATATGGCACATCTGCATATATTAATCCAGTTAAATACAATCCATTTTGCTAAAAGGGGAGAACAGCAGCAAGGTGTGTGAAAAGTACAAGGTCAGGAAAACAATCCAAATATTGGCAGGCCAAACAGCATTTGTTATTCTGACAAAAAAAAAAAAAAAAAAAACTTCCATTTAGTGGATGATTTTACATGTCAGAGTAGTAATATGATTGCCCCATATGGTTTCCAGAAGCATAAATACACATAACATCTCAGTGGACTTCTGTTTAATAACATCCACCAATTTTGGGAAATTCTCGCCTCGTTTGCTAACCCAAATGGAAAAGCAAAAAACTTAGGAACTGTAACCCCAAATTACTTGTGTGATACATTATTTGAAAGCTACCACCATCTAGTTTCTAGAAATATAAATGAAAATAATTTGACTAATGCACAGCTTAAACTGCTTCAGTTCAAACATGACTCGCAGTAGTTTTTTATTCTCGAAAATAATAGGTCTTTTTTGAACAGCAGTAATAAAGGCATTCTGAGTTATTAGTTGTAAACGCTTTAAAGCAGTGTGTTTTGAGAGGCGAAACATGAAATCTTTATTACATTTTCCTAATTATCTACTTTGTTAATTTCACTGTACAATGAGAGGAAGAACAGGGGGGTGAGACAGAGCAGAGCAGGGAAAGAGAAGAGGAGACAAAGAGAGAGCAGTAGACCAGCCACCAGTTTAACGGATCTCAAAATCTGCCTTTGATTTACGGGATAAGACTATTGGTCCTAAACCGTTAGAACTCTTCTAGTATTCACTCACCCAGTTTGGCACACAAAAAAGAGCCTTTCATTAAAAACTGGTTTAAAGGCTTTAAATGATTGGAATATTCTTCTAAAAATTATTTCGCTTTCTGCTTTGTTTGTCCAGTATTTGGCAAAAGATATGATGCATTAGTCAATAATGGAGTCAGTAATTGGTACTGAGCACATTTCATAAATTTTGAAAATGTATGTAGAAAACTTTAATGTATCATGCCTGCTAATCTGGGTGCTCAGCAAACCTAAACCCCTGGCAATATGATAGAGAACCTAAACAGAATATTTGTATTTAGGTGTGGATATTGACTGAGCCATTCTATTCGATGAGTACTGTACTTGTTCTGATGTTTGTATTACTGCATTTGTTCTGAGCCATTCTATGGGGACTCTGTTTGTTTAGCTCTTTTCACCTGCTGGGAGGTGAAGCTCCGCCTCAGTCTGCCCTGTTCTTTTCAACCGTCCAGCAGGTATTTTTCCAGGCCCAGTTGTAGTCATAGACAGTGTATACATGGATGTCTCGTTGGACGGGGTTTGCCTCTGCTGCAGATGAGTCAGCTTCCACCATGTTGAGTGTTGTGGTGCTGCTGCTGATAGACTCAGACGCTTAAACAGTATCAGAGGCACTTTAATCTCAGTTTACAATTTATATTCTTAATGTTTTTATTTATAATATTATGAGTTTATTTCATAACCCTTTGGCTGCATTTTATTTTTTGCAGAGCCGATTGAAGTTCACTACAACAGATGTTTACTTTCTGCCACATACAATATTTCAGTTACGTCAACGTGTGAATCTGCACCCAATGAGGCATCTATGTATATATGTCTGTGGTTTTAATCCCATATTCTCACCATCTCATTCTAGCTTCTCTGTTCCCGCTGAACCCCCCCATCCCCGTCAGCATTCAACTTTGTGAGCACAGGTTCTGCTTGTTGGATGGGTGTACCACAGTCTTAGTTAATTATTAAAACAGCTCTTCCACATTTTTTTCTGTTTTCTTCATGACTGCCTGAAGTAAAATCCTGGAAACAGTAGTTGGTATAAAATCATAGCATATAAAGTGGGGGAAAGATAATAAATTATTGTGATAATAAATCAGTGGAAGATTTTTTTTATAGACAGTAGGAGCCTTTTGAAGACAATCCAACCTGCTACTCAAATATCTCTCCTTCGAGTGTAATGTGGAATCCACATGACAATTTCTGCTGTTAAATATTTTTAGATTATTTACCGTATACTGCAGACCAACTCTGAACAGGTCGAGAGTATATGCAGAAATAAATTAATACTCAAAAAATAAAAAGGCATTCAATATGATTCTCCCAAAATTAAGTATTATGTATAAATGTAAGCAGTAACAAAATTATATAATGAAAAGATAAATGTATAAATCCCTCTTATTTAGATTAATATTTATTTCTGTTTGTAATAATAACCTTATTTATGAATTTATTATGTCATAATTTTCAATATATATTTATATTTGGTTTTTTTTTATGTATTCATACCTGTGCATTCTTTAATGATTTCTGTTTTCTTCTTGCTCTGGTCAGTCAAAAAAGCTCTGCAATGTAATGAAAGTCAGTCTGTCAGCAAGCTTTTACTAAGCATTTACTTAATTGCAAGATTTAGAAAGGAATCCAATGATACACTTATAAGGCTTTTGTTTGCATTGTTGAAATTCTGTGGAAAAATAAAAAGTAAAATATATATTCCATTTTCCCTTATTGAACAACTGCTTTCTGCAGGCAGTTCATTCCTGGATGCCACCTCCTCCTGAGTCTAAACCGATTTACATCTCAAACTGTTTCTCATATCAGTTTTGAAAAAAAAAAAAAAAAATTACTGAATTTTTCAAAAATAATATTGTGCCTGAAGAAGGAAAAGCCTTATTGTGGCACTCCTCCCTTGTCCAAGACTAATATAGAACCCCTTCCCCACCACTTTGAACATTGAGAGACAGAAAATGCTTTTTTTATGCACTTTGTTTTCTGTCCTGTTCTGTAGGAGCAAGCCTTTGATGATAGCAGCTCACATGATGGGTTATTAGGGTTAGGGGGCGGGGAGCGGTGCAGCACTTCCAGATCTGAATCAAGCATTGAGAGAGCGGTCCACTCAAATCAGGGAATTCGCATGAAAGGGAAGGGAAAATAAACAATGGTTAGTGAAGGCAATGATCTCGAGTCTGTTTTCAGATTTCTGACCAAAGTACAATGTGCTCTGATTTTTGAACATCTCCAGAAGTTCTCAGCTGCAGAGCAACACTAAAACATGTAATATAATGTATTCCACAACCTCCTGCTGAATGCCCCAACTTCTTATCTCTTCTTATCTTATCTCTTAGCATATCTTTAGAGGTAATCTTTGGCATGTGTGATTGTGTACTCAGGATAACAGTGAAGAGAAATAATAGCTGTTTAGGGCAAAGGCTGAGATCACAAACCTACAGCTTTAAATAGTGTTGACAAGGGTTACAAACTGCAACAGCGTAGAACTAAAAGATAATAGATTCAAACAGTTAAAACCAATGAAGCTTAAATGTAAATTCAATCTGGAAGACTCCTGTCACCTTCCCCTAAACCACCTGCGAAGTCCCTCATTCAGCTCTATCCAATCAGCTCGGGGGGGCGCACCTTCTCCAAAGCCAGTCATCTTGCAAGATCCCCATCATTTAGCTCCTTGCTCTGCTTCTCTCTCCCGAATGCAAGCAAACTTTCACCCACCTCCACCCCATCTCCTCCCTAATTCCTAGTCCTACAAATCCTCTGGCTTATTCTACAACCAGTATCCAGGCCCCAGGGGCAGACTACTCTAATCATTTTCTAGGTTACTAATTCAAGCAAATGTTGATTTACAGCATCAAAGTCTTCTGCCGGGCCCAAGCACCAAATAACTTATTTCGTTTATGTCTTTATCTGCTTCTGCCTCCTGGAACCCTAGTTGGTCTTGGCAGATGGCCGCTCACCCTGAGCCTGGTTATGCTGCAGGTTTCTTACTGTTAAAGGGAGTTTCCTCTCCACCATCGCTATATGTATGCTCAGTGCGAGGGATTGCAAAGAGTCAATGAGTCCTCGCAATCAGCTGGTTTTCCTTTAATGGAAATATCTTGAAGAACATGATTGTTTTACCTGTGTTAATACATTTAATATTTCTGATTGCGACTTGTCTCTGTGTGAGTCTCTCCAAATTGAAATGACCTTTGTCATCAGGGTTGAATTTCATCAAGCCTTAACTTCCTGTAATATTTGAGATGTGAAGGGCTTGTTATGCTGCAATCCAGCTGCTGATTTTTATAAGATGTTTTGCAGATGTTATGCCTGTGTTGAAGCTCATCCCAAACCCAAAAGAACCGCTGCTCCGCCCAAAACCTGGCGGGGATGGCTGTATCCACTGTGCTGTGGTGGGAACTGCAGGTATCTTAAACGGCTCAAAAATGGGAGCTGAGATTGATGCACATGACTACGTCTTTCGGTAAGTTAATAACGCACCAAACAGGCTATTTTTGTTGTTTATAAGTGAGGATATTAAACAAGTTAACTGAGAGTTATCTTTAAGAATTTAACATATTTTCAAGTTGGTCACAGTGATGTGGTATGCAAATGGAATAAAAACATATTGCTATTGTGGTAATAAAAATATTATCTTTATTGTCCCACAATGGGGAAATTCTTTCTCGGCATTTGACCCATCCCCTTGGGGAGCGATGGGCTGCCTTTGTGCAGTATCCGGGGAGCAACGTGGAGTTAAGGGTTTTGCCCTGGATCCCAGAGTGGAGGCTGTGGTGATCAAAGCGGGTACTTGCAACCTTCTCAGAGCACAAGCACACTGCTCTAACCACTAGGCCAACACTCCCACTTTAATAGGTGACCAGTCTAGAAACTAAACTATATTGCCAAAGTATTTGTCTACATTTACATGAACTTCAATGACATCCTACTCTTCTTGTGGAAACCTTTGTTTCCAGCAATATGAACTTTAACTATTCTGTTATCATCTTCCACAGGATGGAATCACAGATAGATAAGAACACAACAATTGCAGCCCCTGCTATATTTAATCCCGAATGGTTTTTATAAGATTGAAGTCAGCTTCAAAATTATTGTGAAGATCAAAATTCATAGATTTGTTGGTGTGACCCAAAAACCAATTAATATCATTCTTCCTGGAAGATCTCTCTTTCATTTAACCGAAAACAAGAGGTTTGCAAATCACAAGAGTTGACTTTAATAGTAAGATTGTTAAATGAATCAACATAGTACCTCCAAGGTTGTCATGTTCCTTCCTTTAATGCAGCGGTACAAGTTGTTGTGGTTAATTTTACAACAACTTCACAAAAATAGTTTTGGAACAAAGCCTTCTCATCTACTGTTTAACGTGGTGGAAACATATTATTTTGGGATTTTTGGGATATAAATTTGGGATTATTACTAAAGTGGCAACACTCAGGATTTGTTGTCATTTGAGCAAGTTTGTAACTTGAGGCTTTAAAATTCCTAGAAAAGGATTGTGATGTCAGATGTGATCTTAAAGCAACACCTGAACGTACCCATGTGTTTTTTTTACAGAATGAATGGTGCAGTGATCAAAGGTTACGAGGAGGATGTGGGAAACAGAACATCGGTGTATGTTCACACATCTCACTCAATCACTGCCTCAATTTATATATTTAGGAAGTATGGATACACATCAGCTCCACATGATGAGGTACTAAAGCTATAATGTCTGTCAGTGTTTGCTAGTTTTTCCATGAAGCATAAAATAAATATCACTATTGATATTCTTCGTGTTTTCACAGGGTATAAAGTACGTCATGATTCCTGAAGGAATGAGGGATTACAAATGGCTAAAACCTCTTATCGGAGGGGAAGAGACATCTAGAAAACAGTAGATATCTCATTTTATTCTTCATTTGTAGAACATGCATACTAACAAATCAGTACGATGTACTACAAAGTGGGTCTGTAAATTTTAATATAGTGAATAAGCCTGCTTGTTTAACCAATTCCATTTAAAAAGAGATCCATGACACAGTCTTAGTTTTCAAAATATCATTCCTGCTTATTTTTTTTTTATTGTGGCCCATAGTACAAATGTAGTTCACAGTACATACACTTAATGTACAATACCACAAAACTAGCCTGACTAAATGAGAGATGAGTGGTGTTATTTAGTCTGGCCTCAATGAATGCGACATCGGAAGATTGTTGATGAGAACAACCCGTTGTTTTTCAAACCATGTCTGTGCCTATTGGCCAACACTCTGACCAATGAGCACAACTGACTGTGACGTAGGAATCGCGACAGGAAGCTGGTGGAGGAATGTATACAAACAGCTTGTCGGTCAAACAGCAAATACGTCCTTCTCGAAAATGAATGAGCGTAGAGCCTCTTCCTGCTCATGTTTCAATGAAAACGGCAAGTCTAATCCTTCCAAAACTGATTCCAAAGCTGAGTCAAAAATCGCCATTAGAGCCAGCGGTCCTTCACACACGACTGTGCCGAGCCCTGGCTGCCGTTAGCTTTGGAGCTCAGCTGGTTGCCGCGGTCTTCTTAACTTCGGAAATTATTTTTTTAATTAAGCATTAAATCGGTAAATGGACCATATGATGACGCTTTAGAGTATAATATTATCGCCTCAAATTATCTTAAAACATACATTTATTCAGCAACAGCAAAAGAAAGAGAACTTTTAACTTTCAATGGAGCGCTCCATTGAAAGTTGCTGCTGCCGCAGTCCATGCTACTGTTGTGCTTTCTTCAGCGTCGTGCAGGTTTGTCGTCATGCCCTCAAAACCCCACCCGCTTTGTCATCCAGACATTCAAAACACATCTCTGCTGTGTGACTGGCCGCCAGGTTTAGGGCCTGGGGCATTGATCGAGGCTAGACCAACTCGAAGGCAAAAATGATTTTGGCCGCTGGCGGGTGGGGGTAGTTTTCTAGGCTACCACAAAACAGCTTCATAAATACCCAGAAATATGGAGGGAATCTGCGGTGATTGTAGCGAACTTCAGCTGGTATGGATTTTTGGTTTCTCTTCATTCCATCTAAACAAAACTCCAAACATTGTCTATGACGTGTATTTCAGTTCAGTCTGCTAGCCAGACAAACGGTGAAACTGGGGTCGTAAAACAAGGTTTTTGACGGAAGGCAAACTGAGGAGATGCAATGTCCTGCTCAAACAGAATTTTAATAAAGGTTAATAATAAAAGGAGTCAAGAACTACCTTGAAATTTCTTATTAAATAGCTGCATTAACATTGGACATGAGTATGCAAAGATAAATGTCCATGTAAAAAGAGGTTTTTAGACTAGTGAACAATATCGTATCTCAATATATTTTTCTGCTGAGCCAAGGTACGAAATGTTTGATAGTGTTCAGGAGAGGCTCATTACAATGAAATCCCACAGCTGCAGCCCTGTAATTCTGGGCAATGTTGTGTTGGTTCATAATTAAAAAGAACAAGCTCAGAGTTCAGTTAACATAGATTAAAATTAAGTAGCTCATGTTCATAGTTCCCTTAAAAAAAAAGAACTAAGTTCATAATTCTATAAATAAAATAGTTCAAGTTTGTCAGGGTTTGGTTGTGGTTTAGAGGACCCAAATGCAGAGGCAGAGAGGCTGAGGAGATTTCTTGCAGTTTAATGATGAAAACAGTTAACCAAGGCAGGAATCCAAAAATCCAACTAAAATGTAAAGCAAACCAGAACCATGGAGACATCAGGGGAAACCAAACACGAGGAGCCAAGGGGAGATGAGGTAGGAAGACAACAGCATGAGAAACCAGCACCGACAAGTAGCGAACAAGAAGTGACAGCAGAGGGAGTCTATATAGCTGACTGAGACAAAGTCAGGGCTAACGAGTGGATAAGGAGCAGGTGTGAGTGGAGACAACGAGGAAGCAATGGGGAAAGGAACACACACAAGAGGGGGAAAAGGTGGGCAAAAGAGGACAACAACAGAAAAACCTGAGAAATAACATAAATCTAGACACTACAACAACATAGGAATTAAACCAATAAAACTGGAAAGCATGGAACAAAGTAAAGCACAACAGAACCAAGACCATGACCGTACCCCCAACTTAAGGGCGGATCCCAGAGGCACTAAAATGTCCAGAAAGAAAAAAAAACTCACCCAGGGTGGGCGGAGGGGGATCCAGGATGGAGGGCACGAAACACAAAACCAAAAGACAGAGTCTAAAAAACAATCAACACACCAAAGGTGACCGAGGGCAATCAGAAGTCTCTGTAGGCCGGCCGTGGGGCCGGAGGCGAGGCTGAGTCTCTGAAGAAGGAGGGCCTCTGGAGGCTAGGATTGCCAGCTGAGGGCTCTTGGAGGCTTGGAGCGCCCGTTGAAGACTCTTGGAGGCTAGGAGCGCCCCTGCTGAGGACCCTTGGAGGCTTGGAACGCCCGCTGAGGGCTCTTGGGGATGAACTCCCACTGAGCTTTAAAACACGGACCTTTTCATTAGTGTGCTCAGGGGTCTCTTGACAGCACAGAGTTCGCTCAGGGGTCTCTGGATGGCCGGAGCTCGCTCAGGGGTCTCTGGACAACAAAGAGCGTGCTCAGGGGTCTCTAGCCAGCTAATGGGCTCTGGATTAGGCCCGCTAATGGCCTCTGGCGCTAGGCTAACTGGCCCGCTAATGGCCTCTGGCACTGGGGAAAATGGCCCACTAAAGGGCTCTGGCTCAGAATCTGGCCCGCTACAGGGCTCTGGCTTGGGAAGTGCTGGCTAGTGGAGAGCTGATGGAGGTGGTAGGAAGGGGAAATAGATCTTCTCTTTACCCATAAAAGTAGTCCCGTTACTCAAACTCCTCAATATGGGGAGCTCTGACTGCTGGGGGTGTAATCATGGCGACTGAATTAAACCTAACACAAGAATCTAACTGCTGGTCATGGAGGTGACGACCTAGGCCATAGGGGAAACTTACCTGGTGAAGAGGGAAATTGAAGCAGCCATCAGGCTGACCCGCCAGAGAGGGTGTGGAGGCGTCAGGCTGACCTGCTGTAGAGGGAGTAGTCTTCTTCCCCCAGCGGCGCTTACGCCTGAATGAAGCAGGTGGCAGGGGAGGACCAACAGCTTGTGATGGTGGAGGAACAGGATTGTAGGCAATTGACAACAGAGTAGGAAGGAGATAAAGTGATGGTTTGGGTGCTGGAGTTCTGTTGAAGAGTTGGGCGCTGGCTGCTTGATGGTTCCACTCCAACTCTTCAAACAGTTTGGATAACACTGGGGGAGATAGGAGTGAGGAGTTAGAGTGGAGAATCTGTTCCTTTTTTTTTTTTTTTTTTTTTTTTTTTTTGGAGAATCTGTTCCAGTTGGCCAGCCGCACTCACCCCATTCCAAGGTGATGTTACAGTGGCTATTGAGTCAAGAGTATTCCCTAGGTTGATGAAAAAATTCCCTCAGGGTGTCCAGACTGGGCTCTGCATGGTCATATTTTGGTTGGTTCCTACTGTCAGGGTTTGGTTGTGGGTTAGAGCAGTGCTTTTTAACCCTGGTGCTCTGGGCACACTGCCCTGCATGTTTTAGATGTTTCCTAGCTTTCACACACCTGTTATCAATTGATAGCAGATTATCAGGCTTTGCTGAACTGCAATAATCTGAATCAGGTCTGCTGAAGCTCAGAAACATGCAAAACATGCAGAGCAGTGTGCCTTGAGGACCAGCGTTGAAAAACACTGGTTTAGAGGACCCAAATGCAGAGGCAGAGGCTGAAGAGATTTCTTGCAGTTTAATGATGAAAACAGTAAACAAAGACAGGAATCCAAAAATCTAACTAAAATTAAGCCATGTAAAAAAAGAAAAAAAATTCTGGTGTTTTATAAAAGTTGTGAAAGTCGTTCTCTAGTTCAGAAAGCACTTTAGTTTTCAAAATTGAAAAAATTTTTGTTATTTTTTTTATTTTAAAAGTTTATGTATAACATGGATGCATATTTTAGTTCAGTGTTAAATGAAGTTTAAAGAAACATATTATAATTAAAAATGTCTCCGGTTGTTGATTTTCTTTATTTGGACCCTGCAGATTTTTAATTAGTGACCCCTGCTCTATGTAGTCAAGGTATACTGTTTGTGCAGTCAAGCCTTCACTTACCAAATTACAGAGAACTTCAGAAACATACATGTAAATTCAGATTCTACTGAGGAGGTCTGTATTAAATGATTTCTTACATTCCCCATTCAGTAGCAGGTATTTCCCAAGTTGCTGGGATGATTAAACTTGATGTGTCGTTTTAAGTTTTAAGTGATGTGCCCAAGTGTCCAGCTAGGCACAGTTTGCACAAAAATATGGGTTTTGTCTGTCAGAGTCTTCCTTTGTTAGTTCGTAAAACTCCACCAAGCGCACTGCAAAACTGGCATTAGAAATCCCAGTAGAAAAGTCTGAATCACGCAGACTATAACTGACGGTAGGAATGCTGGTGTGTCAGGTTGTTTGCTGTAATAAGTGGCATAAAACCTCATGTCATCCAATGGAAAATGTTACTGTTCATTGAACGCAAGGGCATAGGTTTGATTTCAACTTTGGTAAGGACACTATTGGTCTCAGTTTCAGTGGTCTGATATTATTGGTCCGAAGCAAAAATATGCATGGTCTTTTTCATGCTTAATCTGAATATCAGGGCACATTTTGTTTAAGGACAACATTTATTGCTACATCAATACAAATCTTATACTGTAAGCACTTTACACACTAGATGCAGTTTATCAATGTTTAAAGCATCACTCTCTCTGACGAATGGGGAATTAGGACTTTTTTCCACTTTGAAAAGGTTTGCAATTAAACCTACCAGCGACTAAGACAGTGTTTATTTAACCAACTATAGTCTAAATGTGTCTATTATATGTGAATTTATCCTCTGTTTATATTAATTGATTATTTAAATAATCATCAAGTAATTTAGTAATTGATTAATCATTAACTGGAGTATAGGGCCACTAAAATGTGCCTTTAGCCGACAGAGCGACCCACTTAGAGCAGGAATTATAGCAAGATTGCAAAACATATGTAAACATTTTGCATTTAAGATAAAAAAAAATTTTTTTTTTTTTTCTGTCAATATTCTCCATCCAGAACTCCTCAAGAGGAAATGTTTCTGTTTCACCTGGTTTAATTTCATAAAAAAATTTAAAAGTTAAGTAACCTTTGGCTATCTGATTATTAATTGATTAATTGAAAAAATAATCAACCGATTAATTAATTTGCAAAATAATCATTAGTTGCAGCCCTAATTTTATGGTAAAATTCCAAACACATTTCTTCCATCATACAGCACTGAAGGCCAACTGCTTTACCTTGAGGCTGCCCTGCATCATTATATCTGTGTTTCCTACCACCATATAATGTTTCTATTATACAAGCGGGTTTTTAATAGTACAGGATTAAATGTAACACAAACTTTTATCGTCATCCTATATTGCTTACTGTCTGATTGTTTAAATCGCTCCTTATGTCTATCTTCTTTTTTAGTGGCACATCTACATAGCACAACACTATGAATGAGCCTAAGTTTATTCAAATATAAAATCACTTTTAACAATTACAAAAGACAATTTAACACTATCTTATCTGTAATGTAATAGTATCCAAAATAAACAGCCAGATTCTAGCATTATTTACCAGACATTAGTGTTTGTGCTAATTTACTTATGGACCTTGTGAAAATCTAGAAACATATAATCAATGTAAATAGAGTTCCTCCGTTTGTTTTTATCCTATTTCTAGAAGTAGAAGTTAATTAAATAGCACTATTTAAATGTGGAAAACAAAAAAAATAGGAGATCTTTAGCATCCTTCTGGTGTTGTTATGTTCTACAAAAGAAATAACACCTGTTATTTATACCTGAACTGCCGTCAAAAATGATAACAGTAACAGCAAAGAAATATTGGTGAAAGGGAATCAGAAATGGTGATAGCTTACAGTCTCTGCTTGTCCATTTTAACAGCAGTTTTCAGAACTCCTGCCTGACTTACGTTGGTTACTCACATTTTTCAAGTTCCACAAATCGAAACTCTCCTGCTTCTTTACAGAACTGTAATCAGAAGCTTTCGCCTGTTTTAGCGTAGATAGTATTTAGTTTTTTAATTGGGACTAGTTTCGTAGCCTATTATTAGTTTTGGTAAACCACGTATTCTAGCGTAATTTCTTTCTTATTTCGCGCTCCAAGCACGCACGGGTGCACATGCTGAGGAGCTTCGAGAGGAAAAGAAGCGACTGCTTCAACAACGCTGGATTGTAAATTATAAACATGTTCACATCGAATTATTGCTAGGGACATGTAGGTCGGTCCAAAATTTTTGGTAAGGGCATGTCCCTATGGTCCCTATGCAAACCTATGCCCATGATTGAACGCGTTCATGCACAATACTGCTTGTGGGCATCAGCTCTTGGAAACTGATTACTCATCTTTTAGATCTCTTCACAATCCTTGTAAACCTGCTTTTCTACTTCAAAATGTGTGTTTCTCAATTTGGGTGTCACCTCTTGGAAATTAATTACTCATCTTTTGGATCTCTTCCATAGAATTAGTTTCACAATCCTCGTAAACCCTTGTTACTTACAAATGTGTATTTTTTAATTCCCATAAAAACTTGATTTTAGGTTTACAACAGCTTTAAACCATAATCAAGTAAGCTTATATATTCTAATATGGTGAAATACTGATATAGTACCTAACCTTTGCAAACATTTCTATTTGATCATTTGTGTTGTGCATACGATTGATCGATTGAATGTTGAGAAGACAAACACCACAGCAGCTCTATATAATCATAAAAGACATATCCGTTTGATATGTCATTAGTTTATATGGGTGGTTAAAATATATGTTGTTGCATATATCTTTATTAAACCATCTTTTGGGTCTCACTAAAATACCTGTGTATTTAGCTCTACTTATCTGAACATCTTATTTTGTTTTATTTTAAACACCTCCCTCTATGTTTGAATAAAAACAGGATAATGAGACAATAAATGTGTTCAAAAGTAAACTATCCTCCATCCCTACTGGCACCCATGTTACAGATGTGTAAAAAAAAAACCTTCTGCATTTTCAAAATGGGGAAGAAAAGAAACCATAGCAAACAATATTTTATGTTGGTGTCTATTTTTTTTTTTTTTTTTTGCTAAATCCAGAATCACATGGATAACAAATGAATTTTAAGGTTTTATTTTCAAAGCTACAATAATCTGGAAGCAGAAAACTGCAGCGGTTGGTCCAAGTAAAGAAAGCAGGTTGATCAGGAAGGAGTTGGTTGATGAAAATAAATGACTGATTTATTTCCTTACTTACTTACTAGACAGGACAGGCATAAATAGAGAAGCTTAAAAAACAGGATGAATCTATTAATCATCTGGGTGCTTGAGGTTAACCGCAGAGCGATGGCACACTGCCTGGATTTCAAATGGACGATTAATCAAGGAGATAATTTGCGAATAGAAGCCTTTAGTTTAATGTCATGAGTTTATAGCCAAACCTTTTATCCAGGCCAGTACCGGAGGGCAGGAATCCTTGTCCGATCAGTCAAACGTCAATTTGTCTCCACTGACGGGTTCAAGTAGAAACCATCAGATCGAAAAAGAGGGATGAGGTGTCAGGATTTGGAGAAGAGGTCGATTATAGTTAGGATGGTGTTGAAACCCTTAGATGATGTTAGTCTAGAGACAAAATTCACTAGCGCTGTTGTGGGCACACACTGGACAAGAAAGAACATAACATAACATCCTTATATATTTCTCTGGATTCCGAATCTTGGCATTGGAAAACCTTTTCTTTAGCTCAGAAAAAGCCCTTTCAACTTCAGAAATACTAATAATATGTTAATAATACAGTAGTTAACCGGCAAAGTTGCGTAAAGTAAGTTACTGTAAATTGATAGGAAAAAGTCTTACAGTATTTCAGAGAAGCTGTTCACCATGTTCAATTTTATTGTTTTTTTATTTTTTTAATATTATACCTCCTTATTCACACATTGGCCTCCGGATTTGTGAAAAGGGTGAACATCAGACTACGTCATCAACTCAGACTCACCCTGAGCGTTTAAAGGCAGCTGACACATTTTGCCAGTTGCCAGCTGATGGAGAGCAACTTTTAAATTGGCCTATCTGTCAAGCCAATGGTCAGAGATCAGCTACCCAGAATAATAAGTAAGCTTAATAAGAAGAGAGCGTATGGCAGAAATATAACTAAGAGGATCCCCCCCCCATAATCATGTTGTGCTCTCAGACCCTACGGAGCAGAGCCTGAGCTTGTTTTGTTACGTGGCAGCTAAATAAATTAAGATCTGTGTCAGTCTTCATAAGGCAGAAAGTGTTTCAAAGAAAACAGTTATCCTCTCAGTTCTGTTCATAGGAAAAAGCTAATTAATAACTGCTGTGCATCAGAGATTTACAACATATTTGTATTGATGTTAGTATTATCACATTTTTACAGACAGTCATCTTTGTTCTTTTCCCTTACAGCCCCAGAACCTACTACTCAGGACAGTACAACGAGAGCCGCTTCTATGTTTTACACCAGGACTTTCTGCGATATGTACGGAACAGGTTAGTCGTGCTGCATGATCTGATTCATATATCCTCTTTGTAGGGTTTCCAGGCATCTTTTTTTTTTTTCCTTACGTAAAAGAAAAATGAAACCTTATAACTTTTAAATAGGAAATAAAAGAGTGTAAAATGTGGAATCAAATTAAAAACAGTGCAGCCTCTAAATGGACATGTTTTAATTATTACGTTGTTTATGAAAGCTGACAACAGATCCCTCTAAGTTTTTTGCTGCTATAACAGTGTCAACAAATCTTGATGACAGCCTACAGAGAGTGAAATGACTGCAGATGAAAACAAGGCAGCTTGAGGCGTACCTGCAGCTTGAGTTGCTCAATTTAAGTTATGGGGAAATTATTGCTTTTCCTGTTTCCTGTTCTTGTGGTGGAGCGAGTTTTACTACTGCAAGTTCATATATGTCAGAGCTGGGGAATATGTATATAGATAAGTACTAATTACCACCAGTTCATTCAGTCTTTCTTGTTTCAAAGAAGAAGATTTCTTAATTTCAGCTTGAAAAAGCTGTACTCTGCAGAAACAGCAGTCACGGGGCTGCAGGCTATCCCTAGAGCTGTGCACCATGCCCTTACACCCCCCCACCCCCCCCCCCCCCCAAAAAGGTTTTGCATGTACAACTATAAAAAATGCAAAATTTGTACATAATATTATGTTTTTGTTACTTTTTTAATATAGAAACATCATTGCCTTAAAGGGTTACCCTTTCTAACTAAACAATTCCTTAGTTTTTTTTCCTTAAGCTTTTCCTGTGTTTAGCCTATATTCCATTTTCAGATTTAGACTAAACTAAAAAAAAAAGCACAGAAATTATCGATTTTAACTTTTCACTGTTGCTCAGAGAACATGCTGAGTTTGTAAATGTTATCAGTTTATTAGAAATCTTAGTTTAAGGAAGCATCTATATTGGAATAAACAAAGATAATCTTGCCTTTTTTCCCTGCTAGCCGCCACCATAAGATGCTAGAAAACAACAATTTAAAATGTAAGCATTTAGTCTTGATCTGAATGATTCATGAGACAATGTTTAAAAATTTACTATATGTTTGATTTTTAGTTGCCTACTCTAGTTAGGCAAATATTGGTATGGGAAAGTTAAACCTTTACAGAGTGAAAATCAGCCACATAATGCGGATTGGTACATCTCTAATGAAGAGATAATTAAATCAAATGTTAAATCTACCTTTGATAACAACACTTCCCTTACCTTGCAGGTTTTTAAAATCACCCAATCTCAACCGAGGATACTGGGCAATTGTCCGCCCAACTAATGGGGCATTTGCTATATTTACAGCCCTGCACGCTTGCGACACAGTAAGTTCATTTTTGTAGTAATTCACATTGGCTTTTGAAGAGGATGTATTTGTTTGTCTGTTATTGCCACAAATAAATACCATTAAAGTGAATTTTTTGTTATTGTTGTTTTTATGGTCTTATAAAACCTTACTTTTGGCGTGGTCATTATATATTAGAATAATCAGATCCCTTTCCCCTAACCATATACGGTAAACACTAAGAAATAGAATTGTTATTTAAGCCGCTTTGTATATGAATATGACTTGTATTTACCCCTTTTTGTAATTTGGTTACAAGATGTAATAACTTATCATACCCTTTTCTCTGGCTTTTTTTATGTCATGTTCAGGTGAGTGCATATGGATTCATGACAGAAGACTACAGAAAGTACTCCAACTATTATGCTGAGAGGCACCTAAAGACAAATGTAATTTTCTATAGCAACCATGACTACATTATGGAGAAGAATTTATGGAAGAGCCTTCACGACAAAAAGATAATTAAGCTGTTTCAAAGAACTGGATCACAAAATGGGGTTGAGGTGCCAAAGCAGACCTGAGAATGACAGCAAACTGTGAATGACAGTTTCAGCAATAAGAAAAATACCATGTTAGACAAAAACTGTAGTTATCAAAACTGTAGTTATCATGTTTTTGTGTTGAATGCAATAACTGTAAAACATGTAGACCAGTCAAGGTTTCTTTTATGAAGGTTGCATGCAGTATAACGAAATGATACTGATATTCTGCAACAGTGACTAGAATTAAGATTTTTTTGTTGTTGTGGTTTTGTTTTTAATCACTGCTGGTAGAACTTCCTATAATGGGTAATGGGTTGGCCCATTTTATGGTTCATCTATGATTAAATTAGGCAGATTCTAAACATATTATTTACTGCCAATCAATAACAATTACTTTCTTTGTAATTGATTATATTAACATTAAACTATCTTGAATGCAAAAATGTGATCCTTTGATGTCTAAGGATGATGTTAATGTAGTGGGCGCTAGATAATCACAAGTTTCATTAAAATAATTTCTAATAACAAAAATAACACTTTTCAATAAGGTACACAAAAATGTATTTACTACCAATAAAAACCTAGGGGACAATTAGGAAATACATATTTCGGGACACCTGACCAAACCTTTTTATTCGACCACTTATTTACTCCGATGCTGTGCCCGAACATCAGCAATAACCCCAAGACCTCTCAATCACTATATAGAACTGGGACTATATAGGGGTTTTGATAGTGCACTATGTTAACTGAATGTTCAGTTAGATGACCAATAGCTTTCGCTCTCCCTTGGTCACATGACCCTGACTCCCTCCACAATGCCTCTTTGTCCTCTCTTGTTCTCAAAACAAGTCCCATAATGCTTTGCAAGGAGAGCTCTTACAAAGCTTTTTGGGCTATATGTGCTGATCTTGTGACCATTGACACTACTTTTCAAGGAGATTTCAGAAAGCCTAATTAGCCTAATTTAAATACACAAACCATTTTGCTTAAATTTGGTTTATCAATAGCATACAAGTAGCCTTGCCACCCAGACTACTACAACCTTTACACGACATATCAAAGTGGTAAAGAGCTGATAGGGTTGCATTTCAAAGGCAGGAGCAACAGGGTCAGTGTCGTCAGGTTAGAATTAATCAGATAATTACTTATATGAAACAGAAACTGCAAGTGATGCACTTTTTTTTGTAATTTTGTAATCCACAAAACATGTCAAGTATGAAAAGATCAAATATGTCTTTTTTTTTAAGAAATGCCAGTAAAGTTATCCTTTGTTTAGTACGTTAGGTTGGCTCAGACTCACTTAGGACATCAGAAAGGGCATCATTAAAACCTTGCTCTGTTGCGGTTGTCATTATGCTGTACTAGTGAAAAGATGTTGAGAGTGATGCATCATAAAGTCCCGCCTCCCACGGTGTGATTGGTCCGGTCAGATCTGCCTGGAGTCAACGGCGGTTTACCAAACTGTACAATGCTCTGTGTCATTCAGTCTGGCTGGCCAGGAAAGCAAAAAAGAGCAAAGTAAAGTTGACCAATTTCTGCCTCAACAGCCATAAATGTCAGACTGAAACAAATAAACCTTTTTTTATATGAGAGAATCAAATATATTAAGTGCTGTGTGTCCACACTGAAAGCCCTCTTTGGTGTGTCTGCTATTACACAGTAAAGAAGACTTGGGTTTAGCTGTTTTTTGTATTAGTGAGATAAATTACATCAGAGGAAGCATAGAAATCTGGAAGCGGATTCCAAAAGTATGTATGGCTTGTCAGGACAGCTACAGTTCATTCGGGTAGGAAATGAGTGAGAGAGCAAAACATTGTTCCCCCTGTTCTTTGAGGCTTTCTTTAACCACAAATCATGTAAAGCTTTATTTTATTAAACCAGTTTTACAGTTACAGCTTGTAGAATATAAAAAAAAATATAGAATCAGCAGGTTGGAACTGTATAATTACATAACCATAACATAAAATGTAGTGTGCCTAAAAAGTAAAAGCTTTTAAATAAAAGATTTTGCTATCTGTGCATAGGTATGTGCATACTTAATTTTCCACCAACTGACAGGGCGTTGTCTCTCTTGACTTCAAGAGAACATGTTGTGATGAAAAAAGATTGTATGCATGTGACATCAATCTGTCAATTGTTCAAACTGATATGAGGTTTACACTTTAAGGAGGCCGCATGTTAATTAAAAGGTAGGAATGTGTAGCAGTTCACGTGAGATACCTATATGGAAACAAAAGGTGCTAGGTTTTTGTACTCAGGTGTAAAATGTACTAATAGTTGTATACCTGAGGCCAAACTGGAATATGTGAACATTATGTTCACATAAGCAGTAGACTTAGTCATATTAGTTTCCCCAGGCAAACTTTACCAAGCCTGCCTTATGTTCCAGACAGCCTTTGGCTGCCAAAGTTTTACAAACAATAATGCAAATGAGACAGCAATATTTTACTGCAATCCCTTTCTTGAAAAAAAAGAAACATTAGCGTACAGTATTTAATTACATATATGCATATTTTACTAGAGGGAACTGTAGAGTGTTTTTGGTTCTAAATGAGTGATGTGCCTCAGTCTGTAAACGGGCTCCACTGTAGCATTCAGCTGTATCAAGGAGAGAAGGGGAGCTAAGGGGTTTATAATATATTTCTATTATCCCTCTTCAAATAAACATAAAGAATATAATTTATTTAATATTTAAAAAATAGAATTATAATTCTATATTTTGGTTTAGCCGTACAAAGTTTGCTGTAAATTATTATGAATAAAACAAAAAGGTTTACAACAATTTTATTTGGTTTATGTTTTTAAAATTATTTGAAGTGAAGGATAGAGAGATAAAGATATAAAATTAATGGGGGGGGGGGAAGCTTAGGCTATTGTTTTTCACTGAGCATGTAAGCCATTTGTAAAGCCTTTTCCATTAGAACTTCCTGTAAGGAAAATTGCAGTACATTTGTGGGGTTTATATTATAACACAGAGCTTCTGGACTTTTCTTAAAACTTCATCATTTACCTAATAATTTTTTCTGTTATTAGTATAAATACTTTGAAAGAGGGGCTTTATCAGTTCTTTATTTCAGCTCTGAAGGAGTTGAGCCCAGTCTCTTCAGTGGTTCCACAGCTTTAATGGGGCAAATAAATGTAAAAATTTGTGAATTTGGGACATTTGTTCTCATTCATGCCTGCTGATAGCAGGGGCTTTTGCTAAATGACCATTAGCCCCTTCTTCTTTGATTTCCCTTCTGTGCCTCTTCAATACCGAAAATCCAGGATGGTGTCAGGACTTAGTTCCAAGTTCCGTACACAAGCAGAAATCAAGCAGGAGCTGGAGGACAGGTCAGGCAAACAAATCAGAATGGGAACAGGAAGGCTCAGAGGTACTACCTTGAAGTAGCAATGGGTTTGACCCGAAGTTGGGGCAATTCCTCATAGAACAAGGGAGCTGAAGGCAGACAGCCACCAGGTTCACCATTTTGGTAATAGGGAATGACCGAATGAACTGAGCACCGGCCTTTCACAGCTTTGGTTTGGCTCTCTGATGCACTGCTGATAGCTTTCCTAGCCCTCCTCCAGGCTAGCTGGCAACTCAAACGTAATAAGCGGGCCGACTGAACTTTATAATCTTTCTCCTAGATGGTGAACGCCTTAAAACCAAAAACAGCATAAAATGCAGAGAGCCCAGTGGTTCTAGGAGTAGAATTTAAAGCATGTTTGATACTGGAAAGTTGGCTGGACGAGTTAGTGGGATCTGACTCACACAATATGCATAGTGAGGTCTCCACCTCTTGATTGGCCTTCTCTGTCAGATTGTGAGTTTGTGGGTGGAATCCTGGTGAGAGGCTGTCAGAGATCTCCAGCATGATGCAGAATTCTCTTCAGTACTTGGACATAAACTTGGAACCCCTGTCGGAGACCATGGGTATATTCACACTGAAGCCTGAAGTGACCCAAATCTGATTTTTTTGGTCCATATGCGAGCTGGATCTGATCTTTTCATGGCAGTCTGAACAACACAGATCCTATTATTTCCAGTCTGACCCAGGCCATTTGGCTATGTGGTCCTGAATCCGATACAAATCTGATCTTTTCAAATGCGACCTGTGTCTGAAAGGCCAGGTCACAGTCATCCGACCTGAACGCCATATCCGACAAAGGTCACTATTCTGGGTCTTCCTACACAGATGCGGCAAGAAAAACAACAACCATGGCGGACGATAATGCAGAGGGCAGTATTTATGTTTAACCATATTGAAAAGAATTAGTTTTTATGGTTTGAAAAGATCGCAAGATGCGCGCTGGCACTACCATCCATGTTTACTTCCGTGAACACAGAGCACGCTGGCGTGTGACGTTATTGCGTCCTCAACAGCGCATGTGGGACACTTGCATTGTATGACTGCAGTTCACACAGGAGATCACATAGAAGTCAAATATATTTGGAAAAATGAACGGCAACTCAAAAAATCGGATGTCACAAAAAAAAAATTGTAATTGAGCATCAAGGCCTGCGGTGTCAACGTAGCCTATGTGTTTCAGGAGACCTTGTAGGCAGAATACCTCTCGGGTGAGAATGTCCCCCATCTTCTTACCGTACTGGAGTTTGGGCAGCAGAGCCCAATAGACCATCTTAGAAAACCTGTTAATGATCGTCAGAGTAAAGATGTTGCCTTCTGAGCTGGGTTAACTTTTGATGAAATCCATGGCAATATTGGACTAGGTCGGGACAGAATATGTAGCGTTCGTATTTAGCCAGATTGGATCTTCTCGATGTTTTGGACTGGTTGCAAAGGGGACAAGCTGCCACAAACTCCTACACATCAGCAGACAGAGAAAGCCACCATAATTGATTAACCTAATTAACCATGAAAGAATTCTAAAACACTTTTTCTCAAAAAGTCAGGAACAAACAAACTAAGCTTGGGACATTCTTCTGGGGGTTGGTGGTTACAGAGAGCCCCTCTAACTTCCATACATCAACCATGTTGAAACCATTAGTGACCTTAGTGAAATAAAGTTTGTCGCTTCAGCTTTCATAGGTCATGCAGAGCTGGCAGCTGCAGGGACAGTGGTGCTGATGCTCAATTTGGGGGCTCTGACCACTTTATATCTGACAAGGTTTTATAAGAAATGTTCATGTGGCAGGAGCAGTATGGCAATATTTATTATTAGATATAGCAGTATGAGATATGAGCGGTAGGAGTAAAAATTACATAAAATAAGTGTATTGACCTATAATATGAATAGTTAAATAAGACTGTCTGCCAATGGAATGAGTATTTTTACCCTTCAAATAAAATAGTTAGATATTATGCGCCTCAATAAGAGTCTGCTGTTGTTTTTTCTTATCCTAAATGTAAATTGTTTTATTCCACTGGCAAATTTTATTTAAGAAAAAATGTATCTTAAGAATTCCATTAATTTTTACTTACTTCGATTTGAAAAT